TTTTTATATTTAAAAATTGCGTAAAAATACTATAAATCATGATAATTGACAACATAAAATATTTCAAAAATGTTGTATGTGTGTAGTCTTATTATGCCTTAAATAGCGTCAAAGAAAGTGCAGGCTTGTGATAAAAAAACTTATTCATTTATCCACACAAACAATCACTTCAAAAACTCAATTATTAGCCCCAAAACATACCATTTATATTACACGGGCCACATTATCTAGTAGCTTCATAAGCGTCAATTGTTGCACTCTCTTCCAAAGTCCCGATGATTCATGTAACAATCTTTCACTTCGAATCAAGCATATTAAATATAATACTAATAACATATTTTTATATTTTAAATATTTTTATTTGATTTATTAATTGACTATTCTTTATGAAACGAACATTATTTTTTCAAAATTTTAATTATTCAAGCGATGTGTTCAAAATTTTAATTTTAGTATGTTCTAATATATTTTTAGTTTAAAATCATAAGATTCAAAAATCTTTTTAACCTTTTTAAACTCGTATTAAGTCAAAATCAAACAAACAAATTAAAATAGATAAAATAATAATTTACTTTAAAATTTCATTGGCAGAGGATACAACCCAACAAATTAACAAATAAAGATATTTTTTGGATTTCTTAAATTTATTTTTTGATGTTTAATAAGTAAATAAAAAAATTATTTCAAATATATATATCCCATATTTATCGATAAATTTAAATTTTAGCTTTTATAAAAATCTGACGAAGCTATTTAAATTTTAGTTACTTATCATTTTTGATATCTCTGTTTGTGAATTCTTCAATAAATTCATACACAATTTAATCATGCACATTTATGGTTGTTATACCATAATTAATGTATCTAAATATAAAATATTAAAGAAAATAAAAAAAAACATGTATTTTAATAAATTAAAAATTAAATGGGTTTACACAGTTACCAAAAAAAAAACATAATTTGAATTTATGAACAATTCAGTGGTCAAAAAAGGCTATTAATTAAATTAAAGAAAATAATTGGGGAGAAAAAGAAAACGTTCTTCTTTTAAGTAAATACAGGTGTGCATTCGGTTTTTCGGTTCGGTTTTGTGTTATTCGGTTTGGATTTTTTGGTTTTCGGTTTTGAAAAAGTTAACCCAGAATCAAAAAAAATTGGTTCGGTTCAATTTTTCTCTTTTCGATTTGGTTTTTTCGATTTGGCTATTCGGTTATAACTTATTTCATAACTAATTAATAACATAATCAAAGTTATATTTGCATGCTTAAAAAATAAAATGTTCATATAAGGAAAAGTAATAATATTGAATCTCTTAAATATCCTTTCCATTATAATCACGAGTAAAACATTAAAACACAATACTATCAATAATTTCAATGAAACTAACTCTAAACTCTAAAGTACTATCAATAAACACAAATTGCATCGAGGTTGAACCAGCAATTCAACTCATGTCTTCAATTAAGATCTCTTAAACCTGAAATATGATGAAAAAACTTTTTAGAAAGAAATAGATAAAAATTTCAAAAGCAAATAGCGCACAAATAAAATAAAGCAAGAAAAAAGAGCAAACTGCAAAAGTAAAATAGTTGACTAGCGCCGCTAATTCTAGTTCTGCTAATTTTTTTTCATGAAAGTGCAAGTAATATGTGATATTTATAGTTATAATGTAAAACCTAATGCCTAAAATTTAGTGAAATAGGATGACAACAATTTGATATGGGCATAAATATTACGGTAATACTGATTTACTAGTATCCTACTGCCTACATAGTAAACCTAAATATTATATGTGTAAGTATTAATCTATATATATATGTATATAATTCGTTTTTTTTGGTTTTTCGGTTTTCATTTTTCTAAATCCGAAACCAAACCAAAAAACCAAACAAAGTAACTTATAAATCCAAAACCAAACCAAAAATCCAAATTACAATTCGGTTTGATTTGATTTGGTTTTTCGGTTTAATCCAAATAGTGCACACTCCTAATATGAGTAGCTTAAACAGTAAGCGACAACTTAATTTATATTTGCATTAAAATAATGCAACCCGCATCTCTTCTTCTATGTTTATATATACCACTATTACAACCAGCATTCATCTTCTTCTTTGCTATTTCTCCAAGTAAGTAAATTTTCATGTTCCGTTCCTCTAGTTGTAGTTACTTGATAATTCCTCCTTTTTCCGCTAATATAACAAGAATCTTTCGTCACAACATAATTTTAAATTTGTCCACTTTCTTGCATATTCTTGATAATAACTAATATGGGAATC